TGTGTGTGTGTGTGTGTGTGTGTATTTTCCTCAAATGACTACCAAGTGCAAAATACAGTACACTTTGGTAATATGGCCAGGATCTGATGGTAAAAATTTGCATAGAAAATATGTATTTAAAATACTTACAAATAAATATTAGGTGTAAAAAGTATTTTTTAGTTGTACATGGACGCAGCATCTTTATTTTGTTGATTTACTTTTATGTGGTGCTGAACATCGAACCCAGTGTCTCACATGTGGGAGGCAAGCGCTTTACCACTGAGCCATATGCCAGCCACTACCCACTACTTTTTAAAAAGGTTTTTGCTAATGTGACTGGCTCTAGGAGGGAGTAGTTTAACAGCTGTAAAATTCCAGTATGCAGATGAGATGTCATGAGACATAGCTCTCTGGTGGTAGTGGGTTAGAGTTCCTCAATCTGAACTAACTCAGGTGTAATATTTGATAACTTAGAACATATGATGCTATGCTACAAAATAAATATTCATTCTAATAATAATGATCCATATTTTTAACAGGGTAATTGTGTTTAATGTAAATCATTTCCTCATCTTTCATTGGCAGGTGGTAACGTCCTCATCTTGGCTATTTGGGGAGATAAAGGAGCCCCACACATGCAGGCCTTACACTTCAGTTTTGCCTTGGGTGCCTTTCCGGCTCCAATTCTGGCTAAATTAGCAGTGGGTACCTCAGTGTCTGCTGAAAACCACACAGAGCCTGCTTTTCAGCCTCCAGCCACCAATGGGTCATATGAAGCTGACTCAGCCCCTCTGTTTGGATTGCCTGATGACATGAATCTATTCTGGGCTTATGCTTTTGTCGGCACTTATATGTTCATAGTGTCTCTCTTCCCATTTGCTCTGTTTTTCAAGAAAAGCTCAAGGCAGGAAAAATCAAAAGCATCTGCTCAGGCATATCGAAGAGCTGAATATCACAAGACCCTTCTCTGCCTTCTTTTCGTGTTCTTCTTTTTTTATGTTGAAGCAGAGGTAACATATGGCTCTTATGTTTTCTCCTTTGCCACCACCCATGCTGGCATGGAAGAACGCGAAGCAGCTGGGTTGAACTCCATCTTCTGGGGGACCTTTGCAGCCTGCAGGGGCCTGGCGATCTTCTTTGCTGCATGTCTACAGCCGGGCACCATGATTGTGTTGAGCAACATTGGCAGCCTGGCTTCATCTTTATTTCTGGTGCTATTCAACAAGAGTCCACTCTGTCTCTGGATTGCCACTTCAGTGTATGGGGCCTCAATGGCAACCACGTTTCCCAGTGGTGTTTCCTGGATTGAGCAGTACACGACCATAAGTGGGAAATCAGCAGCCTTTTTTGTAATTGGTGCAGCACTGGGAGAAATGGCTATTCCTGCAGTAATTGGAATTGTTGAGGGACAATACCCAGATTTGCCCATAGTTCTGTACACCTGTTTGGGGTCAGCGATATTCACTGCTGTTATATTTCCTGTGCTGTATAAATTAGCTACCTTGCCTCTGGATTGCCAGCGAGAAGTTAACAGAAAGAGTGAGGACTAAAACTCTTTGCTTTCCAACTCTGAGCTAAATGACTATGAGGAGGAGAATGAAGGGGAGAATGCAGAAAAATGGAATGAAATGGATTTTGAAGTGGTTGAAATAAATGATAAAGTAAGATATTCTTTCATAAAGACATCTGGAGATAATTCAGTGGCGCCCAGAGATGTCGTCTCAACCAATCATTCTCTAATGCATTGATGTTTGAATCTTCTCCAGTTAATCTTGCAATCCCCTCTGAAGTATCTTGCCAGAAACCAGGAGAAATGAGAAAATGGACTTTTTACTGACTGCCTTGAATAAATGCCACTTCTAACAAGGCCAGTCAGAGGAGAGCATTAACAGATTTTTAGCATGCTTTGGGGATCAGTTTTTAGGTCCATTTTTAGCAAATGCTGAAAAGTTTTGAAATGTTCTCTAAAAGCCAAAATCCTATAGAAAGTACCAAGTGATATGGTATGATATGCTAGACTAAGATCTTGTTAGGGAGATTAAGTAACTTTATTGTCTCCATCTTTCAGAGAATATAGTGAAGCTATTTGTTTTTGAGAACTTGGGTAGTGTTCTAATCGAGTAAACCCACAGAGGAATATAACGGATTTCCTGAGTAATTTATCAGACATCCATCTTCTTCCTGGGAAGTGGGGAGAGTAGTTTCTTTTAAAATCATCTTTGGAATCAACAGATATTTAATTATTTTATCTTATCTGAGTGTTTAGACCAAAGAATGCTAATGACTCATTGATTTTTGATTTTGAAAAAGAGAACACAGAACTGGGCCCATGAGACCTGGATTCAGGGTGTTTCTCAGCCTTCTAACTCTACACTGATGCCTGGTTTATATCATGTCCTGATTTGTAATTCTTGAAATGAAAATGAGATAAAATCCAAATTAAAAAACTCATAGGTTTAGTTTGTGCAAGATTTCTGGAAGAACAAACCATGCATCATTACAAATTGGAATTAAAACAAAATAATAAAACAGCTTTAAGTATGTGGCTACTGATTATGAATTCATATGCTCAGTGCTTAATATGTTATTGAACAATTTTCTGAAAAATGCATTTTTTTTAGTGCTGCATTTTGTTTACCCTAAGACATATCTTTACCCTGTACTTTTTAACATTTCCAATCAAGTATGTGACAAAATTTAATTCACATTATTTTACTATAAACATATATAAAATATGGTTGTATTTTGTAACCAGTGTTTTAGATTCAATGATATACAGTAATGCATTCAATTAGGGAAACTGTACTATGTTTGTTTATATTTTAAAAGAAAACTTATTTTTAAATACTAATTTAATCTGTTTTTATATACAGATGGAATTTTATATACTATATTCCAATATTAGAAACTATCTCAGAGACAACATTAGAAGTAGATTGTTCTCTTGAGACATTCTGCTTATCTTAGTAAGAGACTGGATCTTCCGGTTTCAAGAAATTTAGGTGTTATTCTCACTCTACATACTATAAACCAGTCTAAAAGTTGACAATAAGTCACAGTCTTTTCCAGGGTTTGGAATTCTTGTGTCACCCATCCAGAGCTCCTCCTCTCTGAGTCTGAAATACCTGGAGAATCAAAGTAATGATCATAAGGTAGCTTTGTGGCCCAGGCATGGGGGATAATGAAGGGAACTTTATATGAGTATGAAGAGAACTTCAATAAATGACAAGAATCAATAAGAGTTTTTGTATACTTTTCCCTAAGTTTTATGCTGAGTGACCTCAAATTTCTATCAGAATACAGTATATTTGCTTTCTCTTATTTAATGTCAATAAATTTTTTTTTGAGAAACAGTTGCTTTGGTTTGTCTTAAGTGAAATGCAATACCTTTATTAACCAGTTCGTTCATCTTATAGCTTTCATTCATGTTGAGAACAAAACAACTTTGGAGAGGGCTACTGGAGAAATTGATGGTAAAATGCCTGTTGCTCTTTTTATACAGTACTTTTCCCCTGGTTAGTGTTGGAAATTGCTTCTGTTCCACACTCTCTCTGCTCTTCCTCAGACTGCTGGGCCTTAGGTAGAAACAGTTGTTTGGCTGATGAGAGGCTCATTACTACAGGGATTTTCCCCTCAGCTTCTACTTTTAGAGGGTAGAAGATGGGGCTATGGGAGAGATGCTTGGGAATGAGAACATGGTATACATTTTGGAAATCCATATAGATAAATCACTAAGATTCCACAAACAAAAATATGGATGTTCATAAGACCACTGGCATTATAAAATTTTGAAAATGTGTTTCCATATTGAAAGGAATCAACTTAGCACAGTTCTAAGCATTAACATTTATTATCCCCGTGTCTTTGTGGTTCAAGAATTTGGGCACAACTTAACTGTGTTTCTTATATAGACTCACAGGACTGATATCACTGTTAGGTTACTACACTCTTTACTGGACCTTGGACATCTTTTCCAGGCACATGTTTGCTGGCAGTAATCAGTTGATTGCTATTGTCAGAAATCCTGCCAAATGATTCCCTGGCTCCACTTTCTCAAACGTCCTAATTATCTGTAGGAATTGAAGCAGCTTTATGCTGTGGGCAGCTTTGAACCCAGCTTGCTTTATTGAGCAACTGTTGCATTATTCACATAGGGCCACTGATTCATTGACTACCCTGGGCAAGTTGTTTCCTTGTTTCTCTCTAGGCCTCAATACCCCTATTTGTAAACGGGGCCCAAGTGGAACTGAAAGCTTACCCACAAGTTTCAACAAATATTGTGGAGTGAAAGATGTATAATACACTGAAAAACTTCAGACATCAAAGGAGCAAGGGCAGTGATTTTGGAAAGTTGTATGATGGTAAGACTTTTAGTTCCCTATTTTCTTTTCTTTGGTTGTGTGTGTGTGTGAGAATTACTGGGGACTGAATCCGGGGATGCTTTACCACTGTGCTACACCCCAAAACTATTTACTTACTTTAGTTTTGAGACAAGATCTCACTGTTTCGCTAAGTTGCTGAGGCTAGCCTTGAACTTGCGATCTTCCTGCCTCGCCCTCCTGCGTGGCTAGGATTACAAGCATGCACCACCGCGCTTGGCAGTTTCCCAATTTTTCCTAGGAGATCCGGGTAGCTGGATCGAGGTTCCACCATGTAGTTCTTGGCCCACAGTTGTCAGCAATCCCGCCACTTTGTACCTTGTTCCTTAATGGCATTTTATCTCGGGATTTCTCTTCAGAGGCTGCAGCTTCAGTTTGCTCCGCCACGGGGCGCCAGTCCCCTGGCGTCAGGAAGTTCAACTAAGTGTGATGCGATGCCTGCGAGAGATCCGGTCTCCTAGGCAACCAGATTAACTTCCGGTTTGAAGCGCGGTTCTGGTTGGCTGGAGGCTTCATTTCCGCCAAGTGACCCGGGCGGGCGCAGCGCGTTCTGGAGGGCAGATGCCCGCTGCGTGCCAACACCTGCACGTCCCAGAATTCTCTCCGGGTGGGCGGAGAGAAGGCGGCACCTTGGTAGACATTCTGGCCGCGAGGGGCGGGACCGTGGCTCACCTCCGAACCCCTGAGGCTCACCTCAGCAAGACTATTTGGAGCCTCCAAGCTGGAGCTGGAACTAGAGTTCCGTGGTGTGGGGGCCGCGGCTGCCGGGCAGCGGCTCCTACAGGCCGACGTCAGGGCGAATGAACCGGAGACGGTGGCGGTCTCCCGGCCCGGCAGCCGGACCCGGGCCGCGCTGCGCTGGTTCATCACCGCGATCCTGTGTGCGGCCTTCCTGGGGCTGGTGAGAGCTGGGGGAGCGACCCTCCCTGGCCGGGCGCGAGCAGGCGCCCTGCAGGCCTTCACGGTTGGAATCTTGGCTTCTCCCCCTACGCTGTGTGACCTTGAACACCTTAGTTATTCTGCTTCGGCCTCAGTTTAGTCATCTGGAAAACGGGCACCATTCCAACAGTGGTGGTGGGGTTATTATCAAGTGTGAAACTGTTTTTCCTAATGTGTTTAACAACTGCACCAAATTTTCTTACCTCTCGTCGGTGCAGAGGTTACCCAGATCTTTAGCTGCCCTTCGCACCCCACTCATTCAGTCCTCAAATTATTACACAGAAAAGCTGATTTTCTAGGATATCCTCTTTCTAGTGTCCTGATCAGATTAAGCCAAGCGCCGAATTTTGCAGATGGGGAAATAATTCTGCAAAGAGGAATTATAATTATAATATTATAATTATAATATATTATTAGTATAATTATTATTCCATGTCACACAGCCGGATAAGGCGTAGAGCCAGTAACGTCTTACTTCACTCACAGTCCTATTTATATCAAGCGTTCAGATGCTTAAATGTTTTTTCTTGGAGCAAAGCGCAAGGCTAGATGCAGTTTTGCCAACCCCCTTTTGCCAAACTTGATAATTTTGGAAGCTGGAGAGTTGTGACCCATAGTTCATGTTAACACATTGTCCTTTGAGGAGAGTCACTTCTGGTCACTTAGCATATCAGAGAGTCTGAGCCACAATATTCTTAGAATATTTTGATGGAGAAGGGGAGGAGAAAGAAATCACTGTGTATTGTTGGTAAGCCCTCACTGTGTGCCGGGTTTTATAAGTCCTTTGAAGACATGAAGTAATTCCATTAGAACCATTGCTCAGGCTTCTTTCCTTATACCTGGTGCTTGCTGTGGGCCTGTGCATACCCAAGTCCTTAGTCTTGGAGTAGTCCTGCTTGGATAAGGGGTACACCCTGCATATATAGCAGAAAAGTGCAAATAGAATCAGTTATTCTTGAAATGTAGATAAATTAGAAAAAGTTTTTTCTTTGAGATGGGTTTCACTATTTTGCCCCAGGGCGACCCTGAAATGTGATCTTGATACCTTAGCTGCCCTGTAAGTGGGATTACGCCCACTCCACACACACCCACAGGCTCAAAAACTTGAAAAAGGGTCTAGTGACAATTACTCTGACAACCTGCTATAATTCTTAGTTCTGGTTAACACGTGGTCCAAGTGACATTTTATTGTTAAACTCGTCCTGTACACATGTATGTGATATCTTCTAAGAAAGTCTTAACTGTATTCCTGATGGCTTTAGGTTTTCTTTGAAGGAAAATACATGTTAGAAACATTCAAAGTGTTTATCTCCTGCACACTTTGCACATAGGTAGTTCAGAGGATGCCATAAATATTGCTGTTTTGACATTAAAAGACAGGAATATATTTTGATGTGTTAATTTAAATTTTTAGCAACTAAATTCTTATGTAGTATATGAAATAATAGCATGTTGAGAATAGTTTTGTTACATCTTATTAACTATTGATGCCGAATAGTTTTTTTAAAAAACTAAACAGAATTGCCTCAAAGAGCCCAAAGAAATGAATAATTTATTTAAAAAAATTGAGAATTGGAATAGAAGAAAACCCATGGATCTATAGCTATAATAGTATTGTTCATTTTTCTTGACTATGGGTCTTAAAGTATTCTCCATTACATTGTAATAGCCTTCACACACAAAAAAACTACCACTTAGACATTGTTTTAATGATTATAAGTTTAAAAAAAACCTTTTGTAATTTTTTATATTTTTATACTATAGGGAATGAGTATTGCTATACTGGGACCCACATTTCAAGATTTGGCAAGGAATGTAAACAGAAACATCAGCAGTCTTTCTCTCATTTTTGTGGGCCGTGCCTCTGGATATTTGTGTGGCTCTATGATTGGTGGAGTTCTTTTTGATTATATGAATCATTTTTTACTTTTGGGTAAGTAAACACTGTTTTGCACTCCTGTGTTGCTGTCAAGGATTTTAGGTCATTATTTTAATTGTGAAAAATAGTAGCTGCAGAATGGTTGATAGCTGAATGGGTGGTGTTTGTGACTTCTCCACAGAAACTGGGTTTCCATGTTTTCTGCTCTGATATTGACAGAGGAAACCTATGTTGGATCCTCTGGAAACTGATCAACCCAATGGTGTGTGTGTTAGCAATTCTTGGACTTCCCAACTTTCACAGTAATTTAGGTACCACTTAGGGTCATGCACTGGTTGTTCAAAAGGCTGTCTCTGCTCATGAGGGTGTAAGGGCAGATTTCCTAGGACTACGGACCTCAGAATGAATGCTCCTGGAATTTGCCCAGGCTCTATGGACTCTGGATTGAAAGTGAAGGGGGGGAGGGGATGGTAAGTGAACTGAGGTAGGCTATACTTTTGTCCCTACCACCCCATGTCAGTGATGGCATGCTCTACCTTGCCTTGGAAATAGATGGCAAAGTTTTGACATCTTTTTTTTTTTTTTGATAAAGTAATGTGTTTAAATAAAATTTTAGATATAATGTGATAAAACTTCTTTGAAAGCAAGGAGAATAATTTATTGCTGATGAATAAAGAATTCCCTTTTTTTGCAATGAGACTTGAAAGAATATATTTCTTATGTTTCCTATTTCCTAGTTTGTTTATTAAGGTTTTGTTACAAAATGCTGTACTTTCTGCATTTTGTTTTTGCTTTTATAAACTGTTATTTGTTATCCAGATATATCTTTGGGTTCTTAAGTGTGAAATATGAAAATAAATAATTTTGTCCTGTCTCTTTTGCTGTAAAATCTTGTTTTGGTATAATTTTTAGTTTGATTATTAACAGTACGTAAATTGTAACCATGTCATAGTAATCTATATTTTATCACCCATAAAGTTTATAAAATATTTAAATGGCAAAACCACTTGTAGTAGCAGCTGGTAAAACTCATCTACTTATGATTACCAAACTTAAATTGACGTTACTTTTTATAATTGACTTTTAACTTTTCTTCTCAGGGGTTTCACTGTTGGCTACCACAGTTGGTCTTTTTGTTATTCCTTTTTGCAAGGCAGCAGTGTTACTGATTTTCATGATATCTGTCATTGGCGTTTCAATGGGCATTCTGGATACAGGTTAGTGAGCCCTTAAGTGTCATCTATGGGAGTGGGGACTTTCTACTAAAAAAGTAGATCAAATGGTATTAAACTGTCACTTGCAGTGCTCTAGAAATGACATGGACTGTACTGCATGTTGTGGCACATGCCTGTAATCCCAGAGACTTAGGTGGCTGAAGCAGGAGGATCACAAATTCAAGGCCAGCCTCAGCAACTGACTGAGACCCTTTCTCAAAATTAAAAATAAAAAGGACTGGGAATGTAGCTCAGCGGTAAAGTGTCCCTGGGTTCAGTATCTAATACTAGGAAAGAAAAAAAATAAAGACATGAACTTACTGAGTGGGTCATGGGTTCACTTCATCAAGATCCCCCCATCCAGCAGCTACTGTTCTCTCCAGTTAGGGCACAGATTTTTGAGCAGCCAACTATGAATTTAACTTAAAGGATTTTGTTCTATTGGAGATACGGATTACTGTATCCAAACAGGGAAGGAGCCTCTCCTGGGCTAATACTGTGCAGGTGAGCAGATTTTATATTGGGAGAGAATTTTAACATTGTAGTTTAAGAGGAATTAATGGTTTAATAGGATAAAACAAGTGTGGAACCATTATTTGGCTGATGAAGTATAGAAGCAGCCTTCAATTTAAAATGCACATTGGTTTTTGAGTTAAGAGAAACCCATGCTGTGTACTAGTTTGCTTGTTTTTCTTCTCTCTCTCTCAAAAGTTCCTGTTCTCCCATAGTAGACCTTCTCTGTGGGTCATCATGTCCTTGAAAGTCTGCTAAGTAACATGTGATATGTGTTTACCACAAGATCCAGCTTTCTATGCCTCCCTTCCCTACTCTAAGGTTATTTATAAATTGGAGAAATGTTTTATACTTCTGGCTTAGTTTGCTTGCAAATTACAGGGTGGATTTATATGTCTGTCTGAAACTGTCTGATTAAAAAAAAAGAGAGCCAAAGACTAATGCTTCTGGCCTTTCACCCTGCAGGTGTTCAGATGGTATATGAATAGATGCTAAAAGGTGTTCTCATTTCCTATAACAGGCACACCAGAGACTTGGTGTATTCAGGTTCCTGAATGTGTGTTTTGCATTGGTTTCATTAATAAATAAATGAAATTCCTCAAGTACAGAAAGCTTTGGTAATTGGCCACTCTCTGGTGGTAAAATTTTTCCAAATAAATATATAAATTTAAATTAGTTACAAATAAGTAGATGTATGAATGTACTCCCCAGTATGATGTTGGCCCTCTAAGTAGCCTTTGCTAATATGCCTGACTCTGGGTAGCAGTGATTTACCAGTTTGTAGAATTCCATATATGCAGTTGAGAGGTTATAAGTCATAGCTCTCTGGTGGGAGTAGGTTAGAGTTCCTTAGAGAATTGACTCAAGCACAATATTTGATAACTTTGTTAAAATGTTTGTGCCATGTAATACAGATTTATCCTCTTTCTGACAGTAAAGACCTATTTTTTTTTAAACCAGGTAACTTGTGCTTAACATAATTGATTTCTCCATCCTTCATTGGCAGGTGGTAACGTCCTCATCTTGGCTATTTGGGGGGATGAAGGAGCCCCACACATGCAGGCCTTACACTTCAGTTTTGCCTTGGGTGCCTTTCTGGCTCCAATTCTGGCTAAATTGGCACTGGGTACCTCAGTGTCTGCTGAAAACCACACAGAGCCTGCCTTTCAGCCTCCAGCCACCAATGGATCATCTGAAGCTGACTCAGCCCCTCTGTTTGGATTGCCTGATGACATGAATCTACTCTGGGCTTATGCTTTTATCGGCACTTACATTTTCATAGTGTCTCTCTTTCTGTTTGCTTTGTTTTTCAAGAAAAGCTCAGGGCAGGAAAAAGCAAAAGCATCTGCTCAGGCATATCGAAGAGCTGAATATCACAAGACCCTTCTCTGCCTCCTTTTTGTGTTCTTCTTTTTTTATGTTGGAGCAGAGGTAACATATGGCTCTTATGTTTTCTCCTTTGCCACCACCTATGCTGGCATGGAAGAACGTGAAGCAGCTGGGTTGAACTCCATCTTCTGGGGGACCTTTGCAGCCTTCAGGGGCCTGGCGATCTTCTTTGCTGCATGTCTACAGCCGGGCACCATGATTGTGTTGAGCAACATTGGCAGCTTGGCTTCATCTTTATTTCTGGTGTTATTTGACAAGAGTCCACTCTGTCTCTGGATTGCCACTTCAGTGTATGGGGCCTCAATGGCAGCCACATTTCCCAGTGGTGTTTCCTGGATTGAGCAGTACACGACCATAAGTGGGAAATCAGCAGCCTTTTTTGTAGTTGGTGCAGCCCTGGGAGAAATGGCTATTCCTGCAATAATTGGAATTGTTCAGGGACAATACCCAGATTTGCCCATAGTTCTGTACACCTGTTTGGGATCAGCAGTATTCACTGCTGTTATATTTCCTGTGATGTATAAATTAGCCACCTTGCCTCTGGATCGCCAGCGAAAAGCTAACAGAAAGAGTGAGGACCAAAAGTCTTTGCTTTCCAACTCTGAACTAAATGACTATGAGGAGGAGAATGAAGGGGAGGATGCAGAAAAATGGAATGAAATGGATTTTGAAGTAGTAGAAATGAATGATACAATGGGACCTATTGTCATAGAACGTTCTGGAAATATTTTGATGGAGCCCACAGCTGATGTCTCCACCCAGTTCCTATCAAGTACATTAATATTTAAATCTTCCCCAGTTAATACTGGTGATTCCCCTGTGAAACACCTTGCCAGAAGTGTGGAAAAAAGGGACTAACATTTAGAGAAGATGAATTATTTACTGACTGCCGTGAATAAATTCCACTTTTAAAGAGGGCAGAGCAGCATTACCAGATTTCAGCATGCTTTGGGGATCAAAGTTTCAAGGCCCACTTATAGCAAATGCTGAAGATTTGAAATGTTCTAATTCCCAGTGTTTCCCACAAAGTATCAATTGTGTGGTTCAGTAGGACCTTGTTTTGAGACTATTGTGTATCATAGGCTGATTAGGTAATATTTTCTTGTGTCTACCTTTCAGAGCACACAAACCCTTTTTTTTTTTCCTTCTTGAGAAGTTGGGTAGTGTTCGACTAGAACAAAATCCATTATGTGTGGGATGGATATTCCATTCAAGTATCAGGCATGTTTTGCCAAAGATGTTGGGCAGAGAAATTTCATGATTATCTCTGGAAACAAATAGTTGTTTTATTAATTGCTTTACCTTATCTTTATTGTTGGACCAAAGATTGTTAAAGACTCATTTGATATTTGATTTCTAGGCAGAGAACACAAAGCCAGGCTCAAGAGACCTGGGTTGAAGACAGGAGTCTGGCTTAGGGCTCTCAATATAGGTCTTGTTTATGTTATCACTTGATCTGTGACTCCAGAAATGGAAGTGAGATGAGATCCAAATTGAGAAACTCCTAGGTTTTAAAGTTTGTGTAGGATGACAGCTAGCACATTCTTCATTTCAAATGAGAATTGAAACAAAAATGGTAAATGGCTTTAAGTTTGAGCTATTGTGTATGAATTCATTCCAGTTTCATACACTATATTAAATATGTTCTTTGGAAAATATTCTAAAGAGCACTTTTTTTTTTTTTTTGGTACTGAAATTGAACCCAGTAGTACAGTAGTACAGAAATTGAACCACTGAGCTATACCTGCAAACCACACCCCTCCCCATCTTTTTAAAAATTTTGTGATAGAGTCCAAGTTGCTGAGGCTGGCCTAGAACTTGGTGATCTCCTGCATCAGCTTCTCCATTGACTGGGGTTATAAGTGTGCACCATCGCACCAGGCAGGGATACATTTTTAATGCTGCATCTCATTGATCCTAAGATATAACTTTTCCCCATAACTTAATGTCTTTTAAACTGCATACACTTATAATCAATGATCTTTTAATATTATGAGAAATCTTGTTTGACTTTTTTTACTACATGCATATATAAAATAACATCATATTTTACAATCAGTGTCTTAGGTTCAGTGATATTCAGTAAATATAATTATGGAAATTATATTTGCAGATATTTTTTAAAGAAAACTTATTTTTATATGCTAATTTAATCTCTAGTGATGTGTAAATAGGATTTGGAGATACTATATTCTGATATTAGAAGCTATTTGAATTATTACATTAGTAGTAGAGGCATAGATGGGTCTTTTGAGGCCCCTGACCTACCTCAATAACAGAGGCTGGGTCTAGGTCTTCCTGTTTCAAGGCTTTGACCCTCACTGGATTTGGGTGATAATCCCAGTATAAGTACTGTGAACCAGACTAGAAGTTCAGTTTACAAGGAGGCACAGCCTTTTCCAGGGTTTGGAATTCTTGTGTCACCCACCCATCCTCTTCTTTGAGTTTGAAATACCTGGGAAACCAAAGTGAAGATGAGAAGATGGAGGGCTGGAGATGTAGCTCAGTGGTAGAGTGCTTGCCTAGCAGGCTAAAGGCCTCTGTTCCATCCGCTATACTGGGATTGGGGGGTGTCAGACAGCAGGTGGCTTAGTGGTCCAGGCATCAAGGATGAGGAAGGGAATTTATGAGTATGGCCAAACTGGTGTGTCTATCCTTCAATAAATGACAAGAATCAATAAGAGTTTTTGTATACTTTTCCCTAAGTTTTATGCTGAGTGACCTCAAATTTCTACCAGAATGCTTTCTCTTATCTAATGTCTATAAATTTGTTTTTGAGAAACAGTTGCTTTGGTTTGTCTTAAGTGAAATGCAGTACCTTTCTTAACCAGTTCGTTCACCTTATAGCTTTCATTCATGTTGAGAACAAAACAACTTTGGAGAGGACTGCTGGAGAAATTGATGGTAAAATGCCTGTTGTTTTTTTTTTTAATACAGTACTTCTCCCCTGATTAGTGTTGGAAATCACTTATGTTCCACACTCTCTCTGCTCTTCCTCAGGCTGCTGGGCCTTAGGCAGTAGCAGTTGTTTGGCTGATGAGAGGCTTATTACTATAGGGATTTTCCCCTCAGCTTCTACTTTTAGAGGGTAGGAGATGAGGCCATGGGAGAGATGCATGGTAATGAGAACATGGTATACATTTTGGAAATCCATATAGATAAATCACTAAGATTCCACAAACCAAAATGTGGATGTTCATAAGACCACTGGCATTATAAAATTTTGAAAATGTGTTTCCATATTGAAAGGAATCAACTTAGCACAGTTCTAAGCATTAGCATTCATTTGAATGATCAGTTCTTAGGTGAGTGTCTACTGATATACAATAACCAAGAGCCAACTTTTCTATTGCTGTCTAATAAATGACCATAAAAAACAGCAACTTAAAACAATATACACTTATTATCTCACATTTCTGTGGTTCAGCAATGTAGACATGACTTAACTTTCCTCTGCTATGGGTCTTAATAGGGCTGAGACCCATATCCCTGTTGGGTAGCATTTTCTTCTTCGTTGGAGGTTCAGTCCTCCTTCAAGGCATGGGGTTGCTTTCAGTATTTAGTTACTAGCTTGTTGACTGAGTTTCCTGTTTCCTGCTCACAGTCAGCTGGTCACCATTCTTAGGTCCTTCAAGACTCCCACAGTTCCTTGCTATGTGACCCTTTCATAGATCCTCCCACAACATGGCAGCCTCTTCAAAGCCAACAGGGGAGTATATGCACAAGACTGTGGTTTAATGTCCAGCACCACCACAAAAAACAAAACAACAACAAAAAGGACAAGTGTTGCAACACCCTCCTGCAAGAAGTGTGAGATCCAAGATATTATTCCTAAGATGATTTTGTTTCACATGGATTCAGTGGATAATTAGGATAGCTTTCTTATAACCAGAACTTTAGAGTCATAGCAACATGTCACTTAATCCTGCCACTTTCACATATTAATAAAAGATATTTAGAAGTTCTTCATGTAGCCTCCCCTGTGTGTAAAGGAAAAAAGCAGGCTGATGATGATTGTGAGGAGGAAGATTTTGGCTCCAATTCTGAAAAAGACACTTTGGCTAGTTCATTTTAGCTAGGTCGAACTTGAGTTGAATATTCATATATGTATAAGTAGCTTCACATTTAATGATTTAAAATTTTATAAATGTGAATGTTTATAACCAAGATTTTTTTTTCTTGTCTAATCCCAGCTACTTGGGAGACTGAGGCTGGAGGATCACAAGTTTGTGTCCAACCTTGACAACTTACTCAGACCCTGTCTCAAAATATAAAATGGGCTGGGGATGTATAACAGTGGTAGCACACCCTTGGATTCAATACCCAGTCCCCCAAAATAAAATTTTTAAAAACTATTTTTTAAATTTATTTTCCAATATTTACCTAGTGGTTAGTTCTATTTTGTCTTCTCTTGTCCTCCTCTTCTGTCCTATTGCTTTTAGAACTTTCAGAGATGATCGATTCTTGTATTAAGTATTCTTATATATTTTCTTGTCTTGCTTCAGTTGAGGAATTTAATTTCAGAATATATTTGGTACCCATCTCTAATTTTATTGCAGCTCGAGTGTGATGCATTTATGAGCTAGTTACTGGGTGGGCGGGAGAAAGGTTTTGAAATTGTCTGATGACATGAGTAGCATGAGAGATTGGGGTTTTTAGCTTCTGAACAACTCGTTGAAAGTATAAGGTGCTTTTACAAAACTGATGTATTTTTAATGGCGTATGATGTACAAATATATAACTCTTACTATATTATCCATTTTCAAGTGTGCAGTGCAGTGGCAGGAAGTATATTCACATTGTTGTGCAGCCATCACTGCTATCTGTCCACAGAACTCTTCATCTGGCATAACTGGAACTCTGTGCCCATTAGGCAGTAACTCTGTCCTACCTACCCTAAGTATTAATAAACTTCTCTCCCTGGAGACTACCAAGTATCATGTGTTTGAGGACTTAGGTTACAGTTTTCTGCACTTGAATGATCCTCTGTTTTGCGCTCCTTTGTTAAGAAACATGGAAGTCCTGTGATTGCCTAGGAGCAGATGGTATGTGTTCAGGGAACCATGGACTGGGCTGCTCTCTGCCTCTCACAGAAGCTCCATGGGACTACTTCCTTCTGTTTCCCTCTCTTGGTCCATCCTCTTGATATTTCTAGTCCTGATTCCCCAAAGAACCTATGTGATGTGAGTAGGTCCCATTACCATTATTGGACCTAGGGGTCGATAGTGTGCCTTATGAATGGTTTGCCTTGGGTCCGTCCTTCCTTCCTTCCTTCTCTCTTCCCCTCTCTCTTTTTTCTCTCTCTTCCTTTTCTTTCCACATTTATTTATCTTTATATGGTGTTGAGGATCAAACCCTGGGCCTCACATATGCTAGGTGATTGCTCTACCATTGAGCCACAACCCCAGCTCCTGCCTTGGGTCATTTTTATTGCTTCCTTCCAAAGAGTGGCCACCTTCACACTCCTGCTGCCATTGCTCAGAGTGCAGTAGCCTTACACCAAAATTCCACTGCCTACTTCATGTCAGGGTAATGCTGGGCTTTGTTAACATTGCTAACAGTTGCCTGAAAGGGACTGGCAGGCCCTTCCAATTCATCATTTGAATTGGAATCCAAAACATAATTCCAGCAGATTGCAGGAGTTGGGGGAAGGAAGAGTAGTAGACAAAGCTAGTGGACTCTGAGAAAAAAAGAAGGCACTATCTTAATAGGGCAGCATTTATGCTTGAGTGAGCTGTAAACAGATTTCTGTTTTCAGGAGATATTATAGCTCTAATCTCTGTGGACCAGACAGTTTCCAAGCTCATACAGTTCAGTCATTTAACAGATATTGACTCAGCATTTTCCATTTTTGGAAACTAGGGCCCTGTGGACAAAACAGTAGAAGACAGGTGGGATTCCTGTTTCATGGAGCTTATGTTTTAGTATTTCAAGTAAGGTTTCTGGACACCATTTATTTAGCACAGTGCAGAACTTAATATAGCTCAAGCCTGCCTAAGAAGGTTCTAGCAGAGGAGTCTGCCACCAAGATGGGGATGTGCTCATTACAGGCAAGAGGACATGTTCATGGTTGAGCTTGAGTGTGGGTTTCAGCTCCCAACACCAGGGTAACTGAGCACAGTTCTCAGCCATTTCCCCGATCCCTTGCAGAAAACTCTGCCCTTAGAAGAAGAGCATCCTGTTCTGATCCTAAAGCCCTTTGGTCCTTTGCCTTCTTGAAGAATAAGCCAGAGAATCATTTCAGAAGAAAAGTTGTTTACCTGCAATAAGAGCAAGAGAGCGCCTCACTTGCCAAGTAAAAAACACAATATTTGAGGGAAAAGTTTAAAACTGCCAAGAATTCTGAGTCTGCCTAAGTCTATTTGTGGCAGAAAAATAGCAAATGCTTCATTGTTATCATGTTTACAAACATCACAACAAATCTGATGTAGTACAGCTAAAACCGTGGGCAAAGTAGATTTTGCTGGAGATTCCAGTTTTTTAAAAAAATGTTTTTTAGTGGTAGGTGGACACAATAACCTTTATTTTTACATGGGTGCCAAGGATCAAACCCAGTGCCTCATGTGTGCTAGGCGAACACTCTACCGCTGAGACACAAACCCAGCCCAAGATTCCAGTTTTATGGGAAACATTCAAGATTTTATTGTTTTTATTAAAACTAATTAGAGGACCCTACCATTTTTAAAAAAATAGTTTTTAGTCATATATGGGCACAATATTTTTATTTTGTTTATTTTTATGTGGTGCTGAGGATGGAGCCCAGGATCTCACATGTGAGAGGTGAGTGCTCTACTGATGAGCCACAACCCCAGCCCTGGACCCTATCATTTTTGTTTTATCTCAAGATGGAATGTGATTTACCCCTGTGAGATGGGAAATGTTTAGTGATGTTTTGCTTCTGTAGCTCTCCTGAATTTATAAACTCTAGGAAGAAAAATATGACTTGAAGAAAAAAACACGATTGCAGAATGTATTCTTGTTCCTAATCCAAGTGATAAATCTTTGCTCCAGTGGTTTTTAGTCCTGGCTACTGTAAGAATCACCTGGCATTGTATCAAAACTGCCAATGCCCAGCACATTTACTTAAATTCCAATTTAATTGGTCTGCAATGGAGCCCGAGTTCTGATATTTTGAAAGTTCCCTGGTAAGTGTAATACTCAGCCAAGGCTGAGAACCTCTGCCTTGACAATGCAGGTGGACCTAGTGGTCAAGTTCTGACCTCACCACTCACTGCCAGAGGCCCCATGGGGCCAAAGATGGGACTGCCAGCCAGAGGGATTTTTTTAAGGCTCATTTACACTTTGGTTAAGTCATGCTGCTTTGTGGAAGATTAATGCTCTGTGCACTTTTTTGAAAGACAAGCAGAGAGGAAGAGGTCTCCTGTTTCTACTGCTGTGTGGTCAAATCATGGGAACAGTCAATGCTGTTAATTGAAGCCTTGCCAAGAGTAAAAGTGATTAGAGATTTTCTGCATGTTGCCCTTCCACATAGGTTTTCACTTGTCAGTTTTGATCTTGGGGCTTAAGAGGATAGGAGTAATCTTGTAGATTCACCCCACCTGAATATCAGTGCATTCACTGTTTATATGCCTTTGTAGAATACAAGAGTACGTTTGAGAAATATGTTGATATAAATAAATACTGATGTTGGTTTAAGATAAAATTCAATTTCTTTAGTTTTTTATTTGATGTTTAACAATGAACTTGGCATCCCTCTTTCAGAAATGAGTCAAGGTATGTTTAGATTTTAGATTTTGAGTGCACCCCATAAAAAAAAAATGTGATGGTTGGGTTGGGTTTGGAGAACCAGAGAAACAGTTTCACCTCACACACATTTTTTTGGAAATGACATGTAACGTCTTGACACTTCAGAGTTCCTCAATTTTCTAAACTTGCCAGTTCATGGAAAAAGCTGTTAGTAGCTTGTTATCTTAGTATGTCGATAGTTGGGTCATAGTTTCCAAATGGAGATGTTTCAGAACAGAATGGAGGTTTTTTAAATGGCACATCAGGCAGAACCTGGGATCTCCTTGCTTCTCTTCTCTACAGAACCCAGCAACTGAAGCTTGCTGTCAGTGACCACGGCCCTATTTATTCACTTACTTAAAATAAGCATAGTGATAAAAGAGTTCAATGCTTCTAGGTTGGAGCAGATTCAGATGTACAGCTCTTTCCTTACCTTCTCTATGAGTCTTAGGAAAAGATAGTTTAAAAATAGCAAAGTTGAGGCTGAGAGAAACTAAATGTCTACACTCTCCTCATCTAAACGGTTAAACGATAACTCCAGGTATCTTTGACTGCCACCATCTCTGCTTTAAATGACCTGAGTTTACAGTTGTGTACTCTGCTCAGGGAAGGGACCCTCTTTGCCTCATACCAGGGACTCTGGGCAAAGCCTGGCCTTTTCTGGCTCCTCCTAGAAAGCCTTAGCACTGGGCAATCTATGAAGTATAATGGAGTGTGTGATATACAAGGGTTCCCAGGATTTCCATGAGGAAGTGGCCTCAGCTTATCATTGAACTCCTACTTAGTTTTCATGGATTTGATTGGATATGAAGGTGGACCTAGTGGTCAAGTTCTGACCTCACCACTCACTATGGCGCCAAAGATGGGACTGTAGACTGTGGTTCAAAAGGACAGAGCTGGGAACTGGCTGGGCCCTTCTGCTACCTCTCTCTGGAAAGAATACTGGTTTGGAAATGTCATTTACACACACACACACACACACTATATATATATATATATCACAAAATAAATGTTGTTTTTATTATTTATTATTATTGTTTTGTAGGCCAAAAGGGGTAAAATGCCAGAGAATAGGGAATTTGAACTAGAAAATTCTGTTTTAGTAAAAGAGACCATCTACAAAAGGAAAATACTAAAATTTTTTATAATTATTATGTCTGGGAAGATGAGATGTGACACTTTTCACTAGCTGATGAAGTTATGGATGGTAAAGATACTTTAGTTGCTCTGGGAAGTCAGTAAGATGTGTGGCTGAGAGCTCCCTGCTCAGGCACTTTGCAAAGTTTGGACCCCCTCAGATCCCTCAACTGGAGTCCATTGGCAATGGAAAATTGAGATTGAAAGATCACACATTTTTTTAAAAGTGGGTAATGTATGCATGTAATAATAAAACCCAACAGATAAAGGTGAATTAAAAAGTAATCTTATTTATCTCTCTCTTATCTCCAAGCCCCAGCAATGGAGGCAACTACTATTTTTTTTTGTGTATCTTCTAGACATACCTGTGCATATGCAAAAAATTATGTGTCCTCTGCTTTGTTTTTAGATTAAAAAAATGTATACATCGATTGTGTACATATTTTCAAAATACGTATGTATACCTTTTGGAATGATTAGAACTGATGTGCATTTAACTTGGCTTTATATATTTTTCAGTGCTGGGGATCAAATTGTCTTCTAGTATACTAGGTGAGCATTCAGCTTTACTTTTCAGCATAGATTATTAGAATCTGAATGAAAGAGGCATGTAGTTTTTTAAAAAGTAATATTTTATTTAGATACAATTCCTAAGATATCATCCTGAAGCTTCTCTTTAACCATATTCTTGACCTATCCAAAGTACCCATATATCATAATGTATATATAAAGTTTCAGTTATATAGGGGCTTGAAATATGGAATGATGTAGTTATAGGTAGGAGGAAGAGCCACAAAAATGCATGTGAGCCAGTTCCTGCTTTGCTGTAATAGTTAACTCTGTACATAGAGTGCCATCATCTGGGTGTCTTTCCTCAAGCACCAATGAGGCGTTAATCCTATTTTTAGATGGAGGCATAGGCTTAATTGCTTTTTTCTCTGTAGTCTTACAGTCAATGGAAATAGAGCTTGAATTAAAATATAAGTTTTTATGACTCCAAAGCTCATGCTATTTTCACAAAACTATTCTATCTCTTTATTGAAGGTAGCCGTATGTAAACTGACTTCTTGACTAAGGTTGGTAATTCAAATCTCTCATTTATAGGTGACCCACTTTAATCAGGTTTCAACCACTACCAGTCTAGAAAACTGTTCTAGACCCAGTGACAACTCTGGGTACTAGACCTGGGAGACATTTTTAATTCTCTAACTCACCATTCATTTATGTAGCAATAATTTGAGTGACTTCCACTTGCCAGGCAGTGTGGTTGTGTTGGGGAGCAAATTCTGATCTCTGTCTTCATAATTTTGGAGTCTGTTGAGAAGAATGACATCAAATGTTGGCAAAGTAATCCACTCTCACTTGTCATGAGTCAGAGCAGCCAGCACTTAGCAGCTAGGTACAATGGCACATACCTGTAATCTATTCAAGAAGCTGAGGCAGGAAGATCTCAAGTTCGAGGCCAGCCTGGGTGAATTAAAAAGGAAAAAAAAAAAAAGAACTGGGAATAAAGAACAGAGATAGAGTGCCCTTGGCACTGTCCAGTCCTTCCCACCCAAGCAAAGTCAGCACAGGGTGATATGGGAGCTTACACCTGCTTTTAGGCCTTTTGCACCTTGATAAAAAGGGTGGGTTAGAAGGCCTTACCTCTCACGACGATGCACACTTCCAGTGACTCCCCCTATTCTCAGTACTGTACCTCATCATGTTCAAGGTCATCCAGGTTTGTGTATCTCTGATTCTCTTTAAGGCTGGAGTCAACTGTGTCTGGGAGCAGCAAGTGTGGTTACTCTAATATGTGGAATCAGTATGGCCTGTGTTCCTTTTATTTAAACATTTCCCTCCTAGGGCCTTGCTACTCTAAGGTCTTCCTTGAATTCTCTAATAATGATCAGTTCTGGCTCTTTCTCATTTTTGGGCTCCTCTAACAGAGAAGGAGGTAAAAAACATCTTTACTCCATAATTTTGAAACCAATATTAATTTTACTGGTTTCTATCCCAAGTGAAATATTTGTAGTCAGGAGATTACTTTGGTATTTCTTTCCAGATAAGCAAAATACCAGGCACATCTCAGTAAATACTGAATACTTAAGATTTGTTTCAGTGGCTCTGGAGGCTGAGGCAGGAGGATCTCAAGTTCAAAGCCAGCCTGAGCAATGGCAAAGTGCTAAGCAAGTCAGTGAGACTCACTCTCTCTAAATAAAATACAAAATAGGGCTGGGGATATGGTTCAGTGGTTGAGTGCCCCTGAGTTCAATCCCCGGCACCCCCACCCCTGCCAAAAATAAAAAATATTTGTTAACTATAGTATTTTGCCTTCACCACATTTCCATACACAAAGCTGTATTAGGTAACCAGGGGCAGGTGATGTCCTCAGTTTTCAAAGAATGTGAATATTTTTAAACCAAATGATTGTTTTTCAAATCAAATTTTTTTGTTTTTTTCAAAGGGCTGTATTCTTATTAAGGTTCCTTAATCTACCCCATTCTTTCCCTGAAATTTTCTTCTTTCCCTCCATCAAAAGGTGGTGGGATCAGTACGACAGGTAAAGATTCCTGGGTAATAAAAAGGTATTTTGATTTAAAAATGCCTTTGTCTTCCTGATAACATTCTCTTCTTCCAAACATACAAAGAAATCTGATGGTACGAATCTGAGAGTACCTCTAATAAGATATTTTGCTTTGTAAGTCACTCTTAGGCATTGGCAAAGTCCTGAAATAAATCTGAGTGAGGGTGAGGAAATGAGAGAAAAGCTATGGATTGGTGGTATGTCTTGTGATTTCATCCTTGGATACCAAATGCCAGACATAATCCATGACTGTTTTCCTATACAAAGGTGTTTAAGCAGAACTGGGGCATTAATGGTACTGGATTTTATTGCCTATTATAAAACCCAAGTGGGTAGAGGTAACAATTCTCCTCATATCTGGAGAAGAGGTAAGGCATGATGGGGATAACAATAAGTAGAGGTGTATGTGCTATCTTTTGAGAGGTACAGGGCTAAGAGTGATCTGAAATATCCATCCTAAAAATAACGATTTGTGTACTGCCCCCTTTCCCTACTCTTCCCTCTGTTGATGGCAGATCCTATTAATGTTATTTATAGCTAGGTTTCTGTTTGCTTTATAAAATCAAATATGTAAAGAAATGGTATTTTGAAATTGAGAAGTCAATTAAAAAACTTTTCAAGGGTCGTAAATAAATATTCTTATAGTTCAGCTGTTATGAAATGAAGGGGAAAAAAGGGGAGAAAATAGAAAGATTAAGACTATACAGCTACAATATGTTAGTGTAAAATACAGTTCTGGAGCCAGGTGCAATTGTTCCCAAGATGAGAAAGAGATGGTGTAAGTGGAAGTTCTGACAGTACAGAATTAACAAGTAGAGAAAGCTTTATAAGTGTCCACCTACACACGAGTTATGAAAACCATAATTCTAAGGACTGTGCTCAATTTCCCATACAAAAACAACAAAGATCCTCAGAAATGAGGATTTATTAATGTTTTAACAGGTTTTGAGAGACACATGTTTAAAAGCATGATTTGTATCTCTTTGATTTCATACTTACCATGGAATTCTCAGAAAACGAAATCATACCAGACATTGGACATACACATTGCATTTCTGATGAGTAAGCAAATGAGCAACGTATGTTAAGAACTTTTTTTTCCTATTGGAAAAAAACTGGCATATGTTAGAAATTGGCATTAAAACTCTTAAAAAGTTAATAATGTAGTTTTTGCTTTCCATCAGCAAAGTTCTGGCCTCAAAATTAAATCA